ATCACCGTGATCGCCATCACACATAGGCTTCACACGGTACGCAAAGCCGATGTCATCTTTATGATTGAGGGAGGCAAGGTTGTTGAAAAGGGAAGACACGAGGAGTTGGTAGAGAGAAGCGAGACCTATCGCACAAATGCTCTACAGCAGATGCTTGGTAACTGATCCATGTTGGAGATACCCCCACGCCCTCAGGCAGAGGCCAGAAAGACCTATTCCAGGTGACAAAAATACTTAGGTTAATTTGGGATGGATGAGACATTTAGATTAATTAATATTGACACCCTAAGTTTACGTCTTCTTACCCCCTGGCGCCTCAAAGCCTACGTCTGACCTCCACCTCTTCTTGAGTGTCTCAGCCGATAGAATGTAGAGAGGGTGCAGCCTCGTGAAGCCAACCTGTCAATTCAGGGGATTTGCCCACGTTTTCTATCATGTGATGGCTCTTGGGCACACCAACATTTTGAAATTTGCGAATCTGTGTTTTTGTTCCCCCTGTTTTGAAGAGGAAGAAGAAGAAAGACAAGACATGCTGATATATCATGCATTTCCGTGGAAGCTTTTGTCGTATTTACAAGGGTCCTGGCTGGAATAGTGGATGAAACGAGAATGAATCTTTGACTGTAGAATACCTAAATTAGGTGCAAACAGAGGATAACGTAATGAAACTTGGTCTACCTAACCAACAACGTGTCTATATATAGGCGTTGTATATAAGTCTGAAATCGACCTCTTACAATCGACTTATTTGTTACTGCAACTGCAACTTCAAACTTCTGCAAGTCCCGAAGAACTCCAGGGAACGACGTCACAGTGTACAAGGATCAATCTGCACGGAAACTCAAAGCCGGCCTATCATGGGCGACTTCGGTGATCCTTTGCAGTAAGTATCCGCATTAACTAACCCCTTGGCTTGCGCGTTGCTTCATTCTCGACGATTGCCCTGGATTTGGCTCCTTGCATTACAGCCACGCCCTCACTTATTCCTTATGTACCGTCGTCAGATGATTGCTTTGTCCCAAATCTAAGGTACCTTAGCAAGGTTTACTTGCTTCGACCCTACAGAACGCGGTGCGATATCAGTGGAGACGTTAGTGGTGCACCAATTTTTTTTGGGTTCAACGGGGCTGCCGTGACGATTTCCTCATCCCACAGTCCAAAGAGTCCACTCCAAGAGGATCTTGACACTACCGCTACAGGCCTTGACACCCAATTGGGACCCTCGAACCACATGCCTTCCGTCACCGGGACACACTCCGTCTTTTCCAATACTTGTTGGTCGATAATCGAAAAAATCTAACTCACTCGGTGGTTCAAACTTCAAGTCGCAACCATTTCCTCACCACCGCCCCACGACGATCCCTCCTCTCTTCCCGGCGTTGCACTCACCACGTTTCAAACTCGCATCAACGACGCCCATCCGAGACGAGGAGGGAGTGCTGCTGCCTCCCTATTAGACGACCCAGTCCCGGTACCACAGCATCAGCACCAGCATCAGGACCAGCACCAACGCGATAGTAGTGCAAATACGAGCACCAGCGCCCACCGGAGCGAGCAGTTCGAACTCGTCGATTACCCTCCAATCCAGGCTCGTCGAGACGCCCGAGATCGTGAAGCAAGAAGACAGGCCAAGCGAGACGATAAGCGCCGCTGGCTAGAAGAACAAGACGAGATGAAGTTCTCCCATAGCATTCAGTTCAATGCTGTTCCAGATTGGAGCAGCCATTACATTGCATACAGCAATCTTAAGAAGCTGTATGTGCTGCTAACATTGCATTCAAGCCACACGTGAGCTAATATTATCTTCTCGCAGAATCTACAACCTCGAAAAGACCGCCCATCAGGCACGCGGAACCACTGGCGATGCCGAATCTCGACCTCTTATAAACCAAGAAGATGCCGAAGAGGTCTTCTCTCGAGCTCTTGGCGTCGAGCTAGAAAAGATATGCTCATTCTACGTTGCCAAGGAAGGCGAGCTGCTCGAGGAAGCTGCGCAACTGCTACGCGACGTTGGCGACGAGGCCGAAGATGCCATCGCCGATAACCGCTACCTTCGCAGGCTCTCTGTTTCATCAGCCCACCGTCCTGATGGTCGCAACGGCTTCCGCTCGAGAAGTCCTCGGAGCCGTAGCACCGACAATGAAGAGAGCGCGAGCGAGGAGGAAGATGAGACTACTGGGCTTACAACGAGGCGACGAAGCAGCGGAGGCCGCAGGCGCACACTTCCCAACATCCATAAGCCGCGTTCTGAAGATCTGAACGCTTCCTCCGAGTTCGGTCGCGACATGAGGAGGCACAGCACCACAGCCGACGAAAACGATGAACAAGCTCTCATGTTCTCTTCTGGCATGTTTTCGTCTGGTATCATGCTCAAGAAGCGCATTATCGGCCTCTATGTGTCACTCTGCGAACTCAAGTCATTTATCCAGCTTAACCGCACCGGTTTTGCCAAGGTGCTCAAGAAATTTGACAAAATCCTTGATAAAGAACTCAAGGGACCCTACTTGCGAGCCCATGTCGAGACCGCCTACCCCTTTAAAGATGAGACAAAGCGTGTTCTCGAGGACAACATTACCAAAATGGAGAAGGCCTATGCTGAGATTGTCACTGGCGGAGATGAGGAGCTTGCTCGCAAAGACCTTCGTTCGCATCTCAGAGAACATGTTGTCTGGGAGCGTAACACCGTGTGGCGAGATCTTATTGGTATCGAGCGCAGAGCTGAAGCTGCGGGTTTGGGACAAGCACTTCTCGGACAAGAGAGAGGGAATGTCACAAGGAGGTTGCAAGGCGACGAGGCCAAAGCTCCCCGAGAAACCCAGTTCCGCACACCCTTTGGCAAGATTACCTTACCTCCATGGCTCGCTAGCTCGTCTCTTTGGACACTGGTTGCTTGTCTTACTGTCTTCTTCCTATTACTTCTGCTCCCCATCATGGAGAAGCCCGAGCAGCAGAACTGCCTGGCAATGCTTGTCTTTGTCAGTTTGTTATGGGCCACTGAGGTAGGTTTTCCAGCCAGGCAAATTCGCGATTGACCATTGCTGACCTATTTAGACCATTCCCCTCTTTGTGACATCACTACTTATCCCATTCCTCTCTGTTGTCTTGAACGTCGTTCGTGATGAGACACCAGGCAAGCCTCAAAAACGTCTCGACTCCAAAGCAGCCACATCTGCCATCTTTGCTGCCATGTGGACGCCTGTCATCATGCTTCTACTCGGTGGTTTTACTCTAGCAGCTGCTTTGTCCAAGTGTACTATTGACAAGCGACTGGCGACTCTTGTCCTTAGCAAGGCTGGCACCCAGCCCAAGACTGTGTTGATTGCCAACATGTTTGTAGCTGCATTTGCGTCTATGTTGATTAGCAATGTCGCGGCTCCTGTTCTATGCTATTCTATCATCGAGGTCAGTCAATCAATGAAATGGATAGAGGCTCAAACTGACAACTATACAGCCCATGCTGCGAACGTTGCCTTCTGATTCCAACATGTCGAAAGCTGTCATTATTGGTATCGCACTCGCCTCCAATATCGGTGGAATGCTCTCACCCATCGCCTCTCCTCAGAACGTCGTGGCAATGGGCATCATGCAACCGGCGCCCACGTGGCTGCAGTGGTTCTTTATTGTCATTCCTGTCGGCGCTCTCTCGATTGTTCTGATCTGGCTCCTGCTCCTAGTTACCTTCCAGCCAGGCAAGGGTACCACGATTGCCCCTATTCGGCCTGTCAAGGAGAAGTTCACTGGTCTCCAATGGTTCGTTACTATCGTCACCATTTCTACCATTGCTTTGTGGTGTGCCAGCCACCAGCTAGAGGCCGAGTTTGGAGACATGGGTGTTATTGCTATTATCCCCATCGTGCTATTCTTCGGTATCGGCTTGCTGACTAAGGAGGACTTCAACAACTTCCCATGGACCATCATCATCCTTGCAGCCGGTGGATTGTCTCTGGGCAAAGCTGTACGCTCGTCTGGTCTGCTACATACCCTTGCTGAGATCGTCTCTGAGAAGGTGGAGGGCATGAGTCTGTATGGTGTCCTGGTTGTTTTCTCAACTCTGATCTTGGTTATCGCAACATTCATCAGCCACACAGTCGCTGCCCTTATCTTCCTGCCTCTTGTCTTTGACGTTGGTGTTGCTATGGACCAGCCTCACCCCAATCTGCTTGTCATGGGTGGAGTGCTCATGTGTAGTGCAGCCATGGGTCTGCCAACCAGTGGATTCCCCAACATGAGTAAGTTTCATGCATTTACCCCTAACGACTCAATTCTAACCTATCATAGCTGCTATCATGAAGGAAGACCCGTTCGGCCAGCGTTATTTACAAGTCAAGCATTTCATTAGCCGCGGTGTGCCCAGCAGTCTCATTACTCTTGTTGTGGTTGTGACTCTTGGTTATGGGATTATGCAAGTCGCGGGACTTGACTAAATTAATGGGGTGTTGATATATGTGTTGTTGTTTTTTTGGTGTTTGAAACTCGGTGTTATTTTACATTGGTTCTGTCAGGTGCATTGCCATGTTCATGAGTGTAGATCAAGCGTCGGGATTCATAGACTGGAAGATATTTCTGCTTTCTTTTTTGTCAATTAAATATGAAGTGCTGCGAATGAATGTTGTTATATAGCATTTCAGTACATATCATCAGGCTTGGTTCTTCTATCTAATGTGGTTGTTAGTATGGGTTCGCATTGTCGCACTGTATCGTTGTAATGCAAGAAGCTCTGGCCATCTATTGACGTCGATGGTTGGCGGCATGACCCTGCCACTGGATACCGACTCCCAACTGACTACCTACCTACTAACCTTACCTGTCCTACCATTCCTGTCCATCGAACTACCCAAACACACCAACAACACTTAACACTGACTGTCTATCCTACGACCTCATGGTTCAAACTTGTTGATAGCGTCTTCACCTGGCAAACCGTGCGCTTGGCTAACTCTGGGGCCGACTGATGCGCCTCCTCTCCCAATAGCCTTTACAGCTTCGAGCTGGCCGGCGCCATGCTCTCCGCTTTCACAGCACGTCCCATCATCGAGCTGCGACAAAAGGATAAGTCTAAGATTGAGACGATACTCGCTCAAGGTATGCGCACACCCCCGTGGTCTCGCTGCTCTTTCACCGCAGTTTCTACGACACCGACTAACTAACTCTCGTCTCTCAGGTGACCGCGTTCTCGTCGGCCTTAACAATGGCGCACTCCGAATCTACCGTCTAAATGAGCTTTCCGACCAACCTCAGAATGGTTGCACTGATACAAACACTAATGGTTCGTCGTCTGCGGTGGGCGAAAACCATAATACTGCGAAAAAGTCGGAAAGGCCAACTGATTTGATGCGCGAGGTGGAACGCTTCTCGACGCGAGCAATCGAGCAGCTGGCTATTATAAAGGACGCAAACACAATTGTATCCTTGTCGAATTATCACGTCTCTTTTCACGATCTGAAAACCTACGAACTTATTGAGACCTTAAGCAGGACCAAGAATGCATCATGCTTTGCGTCAACATCGAATATTGTCAAGGATCCGGACACGGGAATTCCCGAGATCGTGAGCCGGCTGGCTGTTGCGGTCAAGAGGAAATTGCTACTCTGGAGCTGGCTTGAGAGCGAACTTTCTGAGGATGTGGAGGAGATCGTGCTGCCTGAGTCGATTCGATCAGTAACATGGGCAAATGCGACAAAGTTGGTGTGTGGTATGAATGGCGGGTACGTGATGGTCGACGTCGTAACACGTGAGGTCGAAGATATCGTGAGTCCGGGTTCGGGACCAGCAGCTGGGCAGACTAGCCGATTCGGTGCGATGAGCAGTGCTGGTATGGGATACATGGGATTGGGAGGTTATATACCCAAGCCTCTGGCGGCCAAATTGGCCGAGGGAGAAATGTTGCTCGCAAAGGATATCAACACACTATTCATCGACGATGACGGGAAACCCCTCGACAGACGGCAGATTCCCTGGAATCATGCCCCTGAGTTCATAGGGTACTCGTACCCATATATTCTTGCCTTACAAGCTCCCTCAAAAGGCTCCCTGGAAGTTAGGAATCCTACAACATTATCATCACTTCAGAATCTATCACTACCAGGCGCTTCTCAGCTTCACTTCCCGTCACCCACTTACAGCTTAGCACATGCCGGGAAAGGTTTTCACATCTCCAGTGAACGATGTGTTTGGAAGATGGACTCAACAGACTATGACTCCCAGGTTCAGGAACTAGTAGACGGTGGCCACTTCGATGAGGCCATTAGCATTCTCGAAATGCTTGAAGATGCACTGCTGAAGAACAAGGCGCAGACACTTCGCGAGGTCAAGATGCTCAAAGCTGAAGGGCTGTTCAAAAAAAAGAAATATCGCCAGGCGATGGATCTCTTCAATGAGGATACCGTACATGCACCCCCTGAACGAGTTCTGAGGATGTTTCCTCCATCCATTGCTGGAGAACTATCTGCCTGGGCCGGCCGCGAAGAGGAAGAAGAAGAGTCGGATGACGCGCTAGGAACACCGAAGAAAACCAATGGCACTCGTCCCACCACCCCTGAACCCGTTGAGCAGGTACAGGAAACTCCGCAGTCAAGCAAAGGAGGCTTCGCCAGATATCTTACCGGCAGCTATAGGAGGCCCCAGTCGGACACCGCATCCATCCTCTCAAAGAAGGATACAGCGGACGGCGATGATGCTGCTAGTGTGAGGGAGGCTGAGTCAAACGAGGATCTGCCTTTGAAAGACAAGGACTTGACGAACGCGGTTCTGGAGCTCAACAGCTACCTGGCTGGGACCCGTGCTCGATTACAACGGGTGATTGATCCTGTGACTGGAAACCTGAAACCTCAAAGTGATCGAAATGGTTCAACAGAAGAGATAGCCGAGAAGTTCCTACGGATAGGGCTCGATGACTCTGAGAAGAAACTTGAGGAGGAACTTCGAATCACCTTTCGTTTGGTCGACACAACTTTGTTCCGAGCATACATGTTTTCTCGACCAACTTTAGCAAGCTCTCTGTTTCGAATTCCTAACTTCTGTGACCCTAATGTGGTTAATGAAAAGCTTTTGGAACACAATCGCTATACCGAGCTGGTGGATTTCTTCCACGGTAAGAAGCTACATAAGGAGGCTTTAGAACTTCTACGACGATTTGGAGCCGCTGAAGAACCCGACGAGGCCGCACCAACACTTCACGGACCGCATCGCACCATCCAGTACCTCAAAAGTCTACCACCACCAGAAATTGACCTCATCCTTGAGCATGCAGAATGGACCCTCAAAGCCAGTCCAGATGAGGCCTTAGAGATCTTCACGGGCGACACAGAGAATGCGGAGACCCTCCCACGAGAACGAGTTGTGTCTTTCTTACATGATGTTGATACACAGTTAGAAGGACGCTATCTGGAGCATATCATCACTGAGCTTGAAGATATGACACCAGACCTTCACGACCGATTAGTTGAGCTCTATGTTGAAAACTTGAAGAAGATGGACAAGGGTGAGAAGTGGGATGAAATGATGAATCACTTCATCGAGTTCTTGAGACAGCCGCGGCAGGTTTACAGTCTCAGCAGGGCGTTTAGATTGATTCCCAGAGATGGTAAGATTCATATACAGTCATGTGGTGATCTATACTGACTTATATCGACTTAGACCCAGTATTTTACGAGGCACAGGCTGTGGTATTGAGCAACATGAACCAACACAAACAAGCCCTTGAGATCTATGTTTTCAAGATGAAGGACTACCAGAAAGCTGAACAGTATGTCATTCACCTGTTGTTCCATCAGCTCGGAAGCTAACTTCAGTAGATACTGTAACAGAGTCAACTCGACTCAAGATACTGCTCCATCATCTCAGCCAAATGAGAAGAATGAAACTGGGGAGGATCCTGAGACTTCTACACCATCTATTTATCACACCCTTCTATCGCTCTATCTTCAACCGTCACCACCCAACCAGCCCAATCTAGAACCAGCACTGGACCTTCTTTCAAAGCATGGATCACGTCTCCCAGCGACATCAACTCTAGGACTCATTCCAGACGACCTTCCCGTTCGGTCACTTGAGTCTTACTTCCGAGGCCGCATTCGGTCGGCAAATAGTCTGGTCAACGAGGCAAGGATCGTCGCTGGTTTGCGACAGGCTGAAGGCATATCTATCGCGGCGCGGCTGCACCTTGGTGACGATGTACAGGGAGGGCAAGGCGGGCGTAACAGGCACGTTGCCATCACAGACGAGCGACACTGCGTCGTGTGCCACAAGAAACTCGGAGGAGGTATGCGTATTGGCGGAAGCGTTGTAGCTGTCCTGCCGGATAACACGGTGGTGCACTACGGCTGTTTGAACCGAGCAACAGGGAACAAAGTAGACGCATCCCAGGCGCCAAGTTGGGGTCGAGGGTTCTAGACGAGTCGTTTATGCCGGATGGGTGCATCGTTTCGAGGAGCATTTGCATGGATTGGATCAGTGGTAGCCAGTATGATATTTCTCAAATACCCTTCATATTCAAACACATCTTGCCGCTAAAGGGTTTGCAATCGTTCGCGAGGAGTTGATTCCCTCAGTCCTCCTGTTCTTGCACCTCCTCGCCATAGTTCTCTTCCTCTTTGGCCTCGGCCGCAGCATCCCTCGCCTTGTCCTGCTCCATTCGCGCTGTGAGCTCTTTATTGATAGTTTCCTGGGTGTCGGCGACAGAGGCGCGCAGAGCCTTTAGATATGACGACTTGTCGGCCGTGGAGGCTGGAGATGAGATAGCCGGAAGGGTGTGGGCAATTTTGAACGGTTCACTCGCTGGGGATGAGTAGTCTGCGGTGAGAGTTGGTTGCGACATATTGAGTTTTCGATTATTGCGTTCGGCGTTGGAAGAATATCAAAGTCTAGACTTGGGTGTGGTGTTTTGACGTGGAGTTGTAGAATAAGAACCCCACATTACCTGTTCGTGGAGGTATAGGGTGCCAGAGCAATGACATGACGGAACAAGTATATCATGAAAAACAAGCTCAATCACCCAAGATACAATTCCACATTGAGCGACTGGAAGTTTGAAATCCCGTATTTCAGCTCAATATATCTTCAGCGCGTATATCTTTCGCAATCAATGATATTCAACAGCCAATTCTGTTCTAAAAACCAGGTTAGCTAGTGAAGTGGCTTGCTGAAGGATAAGCAATCTGGTCGACTCCAGGTTAAGCTAAAGCTGACAGTTCACGAGCACCTATTCATTATCTCCACTCCACATCAGCTCAACGTTGATAAGAACTCTTGATACTAACTTGGTACCTAAATCACACTTTAGCCTCATCAACGCCGAAACACACCCCAAACACCGTTCCTACCTGCGACCCTGTCGATCCGGGCTCGCATCTCTTTGCGTCTCAAGATGTAACAACGGCCGAGGAGCCGCATAAAACAATAATGCAACCCTCACGCTCCCAGCCCCGCGGCCCCGGCAGCTTCGCTCCTCTATCGAGCTCATCCGCCCAACCCTCGCAGCTTTCGACATCCTCGCGACCTGCTCTGCGGCGAGTAGAGACCTCGGACGACGAGGACGAGACACCTCGGCCATCTATCACAATACCCAAGTCGCGACCGTCTCCTCAACCACAACCGTCATCTCCTGCGACCCCGATATATGCCCAGTTCACGACCCATGGAAACTCTAGTACCGCAAGCTTAGGACATCACAACTTTTCGAGGCCGGCCAACGCACGGTCTGTTACCCAGGGATCACCAGCGACGCTTGTTAAGGGCCATGCCCGCAAGCATTCGGCCACCCAGGGCTCATTCGAGCCTACGCTACCGTCTATGAGTACATCGAATCTTTCATCGCACCTCGGAATGTCTCATCATAATATGTCGACCGCCTCTGCGTCCGCGGCAGCGGCTGCTGCTGCTGCCGCCACAGCCTCCAATGTCAACTTGTCGGCAAGTCAGATTGCTGCGCAGGCTGCTGTCATGTCGCACCAGAATCATTCGCGCCAGAGATCGCAGACTGTGCCTTTCCCTGGTGATCAAAACGATGGAGTGCGTCGCGGAAGCGGAAGTAAGGGGCCTACGAGCCCCCCAATGTTGAGCTTGACGGAGGCGAGTGCGCCGCGGGACAGTGGGTTTGGCAATCATGGAGGACATGGTGATCGACTTGGCGGGCCACATTCTTCCGCTGCTACAGCTGCCGCCAATGTTGTATTTCCTCGATCTGGACATAATTCCCCGAGAGCGTCGCCTCAGCCATACTCGCAACCGCCTCCTCCACCCCCTACGTCTGAGAAACCGTACAAGGCAGAGAAGCCGAAGGCCAAGCTATTCTCCCGCCCAGGCAAGATTAGCACAAAAGGTGAGGCCAAGGAAAAGCCATTGCCAAGCCCAGGGAAGATTGGCTCGGCTCTATCAGCACTTCAGCGCGGCAACTTCAGCACAAACAGTCTCGTTGACTCGAGCAATCAGTCGATATACAACCTTACCAATTCGTCTTCAGCCACGATCCGGCCTATCGAAACACCCACCGAGGATAGAGAAAGGGACAAGGAAAAAGGAAAAGAGAAGGAAAAGAAGCACCACTTTCTTTCACGGCAAAAACACAAGCTCAAGGATGAGTATCATCTCCCACTATCATCAGCTGCCAGCAATTCGTTGCCAACAGATCCCAATGCGCCAAACCCTTTGTATAACTTCAACATTCCTCCGAGCCCTGGCCCCAACTCCTCTACCTTTGCCAAGGCCAAAAAGGATAAGAAACTCGGTGAGCGATCTGATAGTCGCCTGGAGAGCGAGTCAAGTTTCAATCTGCAGAGTGAATGGCCAGGACCAAGTAGTCTACCATCTCTGTCTCAGCAGTCGACGATGTATGATCCTGTCGACCCCGGAAAGCTCGGTCTTCACAACCACATGTCGCTGGACGACGCGTGGCCGTACCTGAAAGCAAAGCTATTGGCCATATTTGAAGGGGAAGATCTGCGTCTCCCCGTTGAAGACTTTAACAGAGTTGTACAGATGCATATACAGTGGTGCATGCATAGACGCTCACCAAATACCATGTTGGAGGATCTTCGAGAACTTTTACATACAGGGTTCTTGTCACTTGACCGAACCTTACGTCAAACCCCAGAAGACCGGTTTATACCCACGCTAGTTGAGCTCTGGATGTTTACTTTTACTTCCATACTGCCATATATGCAAGCCGTCTTTCTCCCACTCGATATGGAGGTGTCAGGGTGTGGTACACTTATGACCGGAGAGCAGGCACGGGACTTCTGGGGCGGAGCTATAGCGTCTGCTTCTACGTCAGAGAGACCAGCCCGTGTAGCACCGGCACCAGCAGTTCTCGATGTTCGGAGGCTAGTCCTTATCGCCTACAGAGATACCGCCATTTTACCACGGTACGAGACACTCAAGACAATATTCTCCCGACTATCTCTTGAGTTCCTGCCTTCGTCGCTTGCAAGTATGGCCATGTCTTCGCCCCCGGAAGCATCCCTGTCTACCTCCCCTTCTGAATCTTTCGGCCGGCCCGGCACAGCTATGTCTCTCGACCCCTCTAATGCTTCTTACAATTCTACGAGTACAACCCTTCTTGGTGAAGGATCGGCAGGCGGCCGTAGCCGTGCGATCAGTAACGTCAGCTTCGGCAGCCACGGGAGTGATGGTGGGCTACGGCCATTCACGCCGTCTGGTGGCGGAATCCCACCACCGCCTTCTCTAGGCAGCCTACGGGAACGTGAGCAGAATGTCGAGGACTCCAAACACATTACGGAGATGGTTGGTCGGATGCTGCAATGTATGAGTGTTTTGTCGGGCGTGTCGGCGGGTGATGCAGGTGCAGAAGGCAATGAGAGGGTGGTAGAGCTGTGTAAGATGCTGAAGCTAAACTGGCTTGGAAGAGGAAGGACGGGAAGAAACAGAAGAGGCATGGTAGGCGGCAGGGTGAGAAGGGACGATATGAGAGATGAAGTTCGTGTCTAGCAGCTAACACATAAGTTAACGTATGGCATGGTGATGAGCAATGTACTGTAATCTATGAACCAACGTCTAAATAGCTGTCGACATATCCTCAAAAGATGTGAAATTTCGGAGGCGATGCCAGGTGAGGGTCCACGACCAGCTCTACTCCATACCTATCACTACTTGGTAGAAGGGGCTTGGTCTCGCCGATGTGGAATGTAGCTATATAGCTTACTACGTGGTCATGATCTATGTTGTCATGACACTACAAGCAAATGCACAGCATCACGAAAACTGCATAAGCAACATTACGAAATAGGAGACGAAATGATTAACTATGCTATCATACTTAGAACGCGGAGTGGTCTCCATAACGACATCTAAAACTTGTTCACCGTTAGCTTCATGACCCATGAAAAGATAGTCGACGGGAAAAAAGTGAAGATATGGTGTTTGATCAGACATCCAAGGAAGAATAAACCCTCATCTGTCCCAGAAAAGGCTCGATCGGGACTCGAGTGGAAACTGCGAATTAAGAGGAAATTTTCATCATGTAAAACGGGAGTGGTTGTTGTGAAAGAAGATAAAATGAGTAGAAACTTACGTTAGTTCTCAGAAAGCTTCGTGAAGCTGCTTGGTTAGTGGTACGGTAATAGCACATTGTTCAAATCTGTAACAGCGATGTTAGCAAGGCTGGGAAGATATGCGTGTGCTAGAAAGGCTGAGTATGGTTGTGTAGTCAGACGTTGATACTGGCAAGTAACAGGCCTAGGGCCCGAATACAGAACTTCTTCATGGTCGATTCAGTTGGGAAAAGAAGAATGTAACTAGTGTCATCATGCAGAGAGGGGGCAGTGCTGGGAGGTAGAAGTGAGGTAGTGGTGACGCTTACCATTCAAATGCAAATTGGTTGCGAGGCTGCAATGAAAATTTTGCTAGCCAAACAAACCGCCAAAAGCAAACATCCATCACAACCGACACAGCGGCAAGTCGCTCAAACGAATCCGTTCAAAATCAAAACAGCTGCTCCAGGAAGACAGTCGTCGTGCGATCTCACGCGTTGTGCTCGTGTGAGGAGGTAGACAAAGGCGGGTTGTTGTTGTTGGAAGGGTTGAAGCTTGGAGGAAGAAAATTAAGAGCCGCATCGAGAGAAGATATTGAAAGACAGTGCAAGAAAATTTGTCATTTAGATGGCACTGTGCTGAGTTCACGTGACCGGCATCTTATCCTCTTTCGCTACTAGCGGCGGAAGCCAATTCAAGGCCCGCTTCAACATCGCGATAGATGCATGAAGAAATTTGTCTTGTCCTCCACCTGTGATGGATGGATGGATAATGGATTGTCTGTCTTGGAATAAATAGGCTAATCAGTTCGTTAGCGTTCTCACGTCATGATTCTGTGAGTTTCTGCCAACTTTGCTTATTGAAAAATGTGCTACCTCAGTATTGCTTTTTYTTGGGGCCAAAATT